TATAAGGATAAAAAATATTAAAAAATATAATTTTTTAATAAAAACATTGTTATTTTAACAACATGAAACTTTGTAAAAAAATATTTTCAAAAACATTGATACTTTTGTAATAATGAGTGGTTCATGATAAAATAATCACCCTGTATATATATATGCACTCAAGTAACTTGATATTACCTAATTATCTTCTTTTGCTGTTTAAGTGTTGTAGKCCAACCCYTGGTGCCGCCACTGCCTACTTAAATAGTAAGAAAAAAATTTTTATCAAATGTCGTAATAATTTTTTTAATAAAAAAAGATTAAGTTGTTGCTCATACCTTTCAAAGTTCACAACTCACCAATTGGGAAACACTGGTTTAGATCATAACAATTTGATTGATTAAAAAACCTCAACATATTTAATAAGTTGGACTAAAGGATGAGATCCCAAAACCTGTCCAATTTGTTGAATGATGTCCTGTTTTTCTTATTTCTCCATCTCAACGTTATTGGAAGATGATAATGTATTTAATAAGGATTAAACATTTAAAAAGTCATCCATTGATGAAAAGTAAATTTACCACAGAATTACCATTTTTGCAGATAAAATAAAAATGTATAATGGAATCCACTATTTAATTGAAATTCTATACAATATTATTGTATTTTTTTTTTTAAACAGTAAATGTTATCATGTTCTTCAATACATTATTTTCATATTGTAAAGAAAAATGATTTTAATGTTGCAATATACAGTTTGCTCACAATTCTGAGTTTCAGAATGGATTTATACAATTTATTGGTCACAAAACTATATTATGTATACTGATTATTATATGGGTAGTTATTATATTTGCATTTTACTGTGTTTTGAACATGATAATTAATACTTAACTTATATAATACCACAAAATAATACACACAATCTGTTTATCATCAAATATTATATTGTAAACTTTGTTTATGATAATAGTAATAATTTTTTTAGCACACAAACTATATTCTTCCAAGAKYATACGCAGGCATATCAAAATATAAAATGTATTGTATTTAAATTGTAYAACAAGAAACATGTTAAATTCTATTATATAAAAAAATTATACATTATAATCCAACTGTCTATAAACTAATAACATTTACAAAACTATGAGATTAAAAAAAATTATTTTTCAACAAGTTTACACAAGACAGAACACAAGGAATCACGGAAATTCATAATTTCATCAAAACATTGATCATTAGTTTCATAATGTCCATATGTCTCCATTAAAAAATCAATAAAACTCCTTATTATGTTTCTCAGCAATAATAACATTTCCCAATCACTGGAAAAAAAATCTTATTACAAAAAATAATCTGGTACAAATATGAACTACTCTTCAACCAAGAAACAAATATATATATAAGAGGAAAATAGTAAGTGCAGAAATTGTATAATAGACCAAATATTATAGCATTTTAGCAAAAAAATCACAAAAAATAAAAAAATTTAAAATGTTTAAAATATTCAAAAACATTAATCATTATTCATTTTATATACAATCTATTCTTGAATCTTTAGATGTACAGATCAAATGTATAGTGATTGTTTTATTCTGTAGGCTATAATAATTTACAAATGCTATAGAATCTATACCATACACCTAACCAAACTTGTATTAAATGWTGATCCTGAATAAGATATTACATAGGCACAAATGGGGCGGGGCTTTAAAACCCTCCCCATTCAAAAAAAAT